AAGCTTTCGATTTCGAAGGCTTTTGTTTCTAGCAAATTTAGTCGTAGCGTATCACCAGCAAAGTTTTAGCTGCAGAAGGCTGCATAGGAAAATGGAAAAGCAGTTTGGCGATAAAGTGTATTAATGATTCGCTAATTAGCGTGAAGCGCGTAAAGCCAGCACAATTCTGCGAAAATTGTTCCGACATTAAAATGACGATCAACCAGATAATTCAGTTTGGCACGCTGCTGCGAAAGCTGCGAAATGTGGCCATCTCTCGCACTGTATAAGCGTGAACAACGCAACGAAAGAAAAAACGGACGCTGCATGTGCCTTTATTGCATGAAGGCGTCTTACCTGTGTAGCCGGAGTTCGTTTCCAGAAGGCGTAAGAAGAAACGAAAACAGCCGGCCGTTGTCGCCGTGCAAAAGGTCCACGCGACGACATCGATTAGCGCGCGAGGCCTGGCATCAATAACTGATCAAGTCGAGAGCAAAACACCTCGCTCAAGTGGCAACTGTCAACCTAATCACGAGGGTGCGGACGGGAGCGCTGGCGTGTGCGCTGCTAAAAGCTCCGTCGCTAGACGAATTCATATTGCTCGTATATGTGGCATGCTCTAACCGCTTTTTGTTGAGAGGACATGCACTGCGAAAAACGCTATATCATTCGATGTGTCTTATTTGATCTATCTAGCGTTTTGTAGATATGCACGAGGGGAAATAGAAAAAAGGGTTGGATGTCAGGCTCCTTTTGTATAAGAATTCAACTTTTTGTTATCGCAATCGGGACTTTGCTATTGGAACGGAATCGCTAGTCTTTAGTTAAAATCGGGCATTGGCCTATCTGTCACGGCATAGCCTGCTGAACTTTTTATATAATCTCCTGCTTTTACAATGCTGGCGTATCAGCCTGTAGCAAGCTCTATTTAGCTCACATCTGTAGAACGGACAGCAGCCCTTGAATGCAAACATACTTGTAAAGTAAAATACTGTATCTGAATGAATGGAGGAGATTGGATCGAGGGGTTGGTTCACTTTTCGGACCAGCTTCAATGAAACCAACTGATAAAGAAAAAGAAACGATCGTTCCGTGAAAACATTTTTTTTGCACAGCCAATATCTATATTACACCTCACTTCAAAGCACAATCTCATCAGCACCTCTTCAATGTTCAACTTATTCCACAGGAAAGACGTCGACGCACTCGTTATAATCAGCACGGTTTTGTCGGTGCCCACCCGACACCAATGCATCACGCTGCCTGTGAACGCCCACAAAAGTCCCAACGAGTACACTCCAAATATGGTAAGCTGGCATCGAAATATATTGACACACAATGACTCGCATAGGGTGGCTACATGTCCAAATATGCTGTGACGAAAGTAGCACGAAAATATAAAGTTGTGTGCGTTAGTGTGACAGCAAAATCTTCCTTTCTTAATGACGCCACAGCGCGTGCGTGTTTTTAATAGATAAATAAAAATCTCAAAGCTCTTTCGAAGGGTCTATGCAAAGCTTTCGATTTCGAAGGCTTTTGTTTCTAGCAAATTTAGTCGTAGCGTATCACCAGCAAAGTTTTAGCTGCAGAAGGCTGCATAGGAAAATGGAAAAGCAGTTTGGCGATAAAGTGTATTAATGATTTCGCTAATTAGCGTGAAGCGCGTAAAGCCAGCACAATTCTGCGAAAATTGTTCCGACATTAAAATGACGATCAACCAGATAATTCAGTTTGGCACGTTGCTGCGAAAACTGCGAAATGTGGCCATCTCTCGCACTGTATAAGCGTGAACAACAACGCAAAGAAGGGAAAAATGGACGCTGCATGTGCCTTTATTGCATGAAGGCGTCTTACCTGTGTAGCCGGCGTTCGTTTCCAGAAGGCGTAAGAAGAAACAAAAACAGCCGGCTGTTGTCACCGCGCAAAAGGTCCATGCGACGACATCGATTAGCGCGTGAGGCCTGGCATCAATATCTGACCAAGTCGAGAGAAAAACGCCTCGCTTAAGTGGCAACTGTCAACTTAATCACGAGGGCGTGGTCGTGAGCGCTGGCGTAAGCGCTGCAAAAAGCGACGTCGCTAGATGAATTCATATGCTCGTATATGCGGCATGCTCTAACCGCTCTTTGTTGAGAGGACATGCACTGCGAAAAACGTTATATCATTTGATGTGTCTTCTTCGATCTAACCAGCGTTTCGCAGATATGCATGAGGGGAGATAGAAAAGGGTTAGAAGTTAGGCTCTTTTTGCATAAGAATTCATCTTTTTGTTATTGCAGACGGTACTTTGCCATTGCAACAGAATCGCTAGTCTTTAGTTAAAATCAGGCATTGGTTCATCTGTCACGGCATAGCCTGCTGAATTTTTTTATATAATCTCCTGGTTTTATATTGCTGGTGTATCAGCCTGTAGCAAGCTCTATTTAGCTCACATCTGTAGAACGGACAGCCCTTGAATGCAACCATACTTGTAAAGTAAAACACCGTATCTGAATGAATGGAGGAGATTGGATCGAGGGGTTGGTTCACTTTTCGGACCAGCTTCAATGAAACCAACTGATAAAGAAAAAGAAACGATCGTTCCGTGAAAACATTTTTTTTGCACAGCCAATATCTATATTACACCTCACTTCAAAGCACAATCTCATCAGCACCTTTTAAAAGCACTTGTGGATCACTCTAGCACGGGTTGAAGACAGCGACAAAGCAAAAGCAATTTGCTACTCCTTCCTCGCATACTTTCTGCGATGTGCGAGCATCAATGTGCATGCGCCAGGTGCCGATATATGTAGTAGTATGTAAAGCAATGCGATGTGTACCTGCCGATCGATTGCAGGAGGCTGCGCTCAAGACGGCCAGGGATGGCTTTGGGAGGCGCAACCTGGTAGTGTATTTCAGCTTGCAGATGGGCGTGCTCTTGTACACGCTAGAGAGTGACTACAAGCTCCCCATTAGCGCCCTCTACGAGCCATGCAACAGCTTCGCCGTCACCGACTACTCTCAGGCAAGGGCTGGCGCATAGCCAGAAATTTTTTCTGCGGGAGGGGGAAGCATTGTGATTTTGGGAGCAGCACCCCCTCAAAATGGCTATTTTTCTCTCTCAATGCCATGGCGAAAAAAATTTCGGGGGGGAGGGGAGGTACGTTCCCGGTGTGGCACCCCTTGGCTACGCCCCTCGGCAAGGGCCATTGGTAGGTCTTTTCATAAGCGTCTCACTATGGTCGAGTGAAAATAGAAGGTAGTAATTCGTACCGTTCGTAGGCAGGGGAATATGAAGGACCACCAATGGGACCACAATATTGGGACGCCCGGATGTTTCGACACCAGACAACATGGCCGAAAACATGGCGGGACTACTTTTTTTAGTTGCGGAGCCGATTGGCTCCCGCGCTAAAATCATCTAGGTGGGGTTTCTCTTGTTTGCTTACATTGTATGTGACCGTTGAGACGGGGTTACTTTAGCTGTTCACGACAGCAGAACTTACACAGCAGAATTTACACTTTTGTGAATTCAAATGCAGGCCACTTTTTTTTTTTCAGTGGATTTGTTTTTGCTGAGATATTCCCCACGTCATCATTTCTTCGGTTCTACGTATGCCCCTTTATTATTTATAGGCTGATTTCTGTTCATAGGTAGATAGACCAGGTTGTGTTGTGTCTGTTCATGATTGATTGATATGTGGGGTTTAACGTCCCAAAACCACCATATGATTATGAGAGACGCCGTAGTGGAGGGCTCCGGAAATTTCGACCACCTGGGGTTCTTTAACGTGCACCCAAATCTGAGTACACGGGCCTACAACATTTCCGCCTCCATCGGAAATGCAGCCGCCGCAGCCGGGATGTCTGTTCATGATGCTTGCTTCATCTTTCTTTCTATAACACTTTCTCTCTCACATAGCGCCATAGGCCTTAATATGCCATGAGACGCTGTGCACCACGTATCCATCGGTCGCAATGCTGGATCTCCACCGCAGAACGCAACTATGCAGCATGCGCAGGGTCACCCTTCAGGAGGGGGGAGTTTGTTGCAGTGCCCTCCTCTCCTACTAATTCTATGTATGGGTTAGACTTGGAAGCTCCCCTATTGCGTAATAAGGAAGAACGGCCACCTTCTTGCCCCTCTCCCCCATGCGCTTGCCTATAACGTCACACCAGCTTTGCTATTTGAATGTTCTTTTTAAGAAAACAGCTTTGGGACACTTTGCGCGGTGGTTCCTGGGCAATGATGTGGCCACTTTTTCGCGGACGTCTTTAGTGTTTGAGGGGTACCTGCTTTGTTAAAAAGCATATTTTGAGATAGCTGAAGCACCCTGTATGGTCCCGTGACCAACAAAGACCTGACTTCGTCGGACAGCATTATTTTCTTCCTTGACCTTCGTATAGACTTTAAAGGGGCCCTTCAACGCTTCTTGAATAACCCATAGAATGTACTTACTTAAACAGCCTATTGCTTCGCGAATTCAACACCACAAAAATTTTAGTACGAGCAAAGTTGCAAAGATTTGTCACCCGCTGCAATGGCACTCTCTCTTTTCTCGTCCCGTAAAATGCACTGAAAGCTAAGCAGGTAGAGGTGGCACCGAAAAATAAAACACGTCACACGCTCTCTCTCTTTTTCTTCCTTTCTATACGCGGCTTTTCCGTGTGATCGCACGCGTACGCGTGCACATGTCGCGTCCTCCCACGGCGATCCCTGTAACGACAGTGTGCGACATGGTCAAATCAGTCAATGGCTGATAAATTAGCTGTGACGGTGTTTTTTTAGCTTGTTTAATCATTCGTCCAGAGAAGAAAAAGCAATTTTTACCTGACTTTGATAATTCACTGTGAATTCCAGAGCGCATGCTGCGCTATATTATTTGGCTCGCATGTTCTGGGATCTGCTACCAATGGGCAGCATTTTATGACCATGCTCAAAAAGTGTCACAGCGCTCCTTTGAAAAGAATATAATTATACTAGCGGTGATAACGATACGCATATTTGTCGAATTGTTACCACTCCACTTTCACAGGCATGCCAAGCTACCAAAGCGGAGCTCAACCTCGAGAAGTCGAACATCGCCTTCAACAGTGATGCTTCGACAAACCTTCTGGGGAGAAAGGTCCTTCACTCCTTTGACACCCTCGAACAGATGACGGAAAAGGTGAGCTCTAATTTTATAAATTCCACAGCACTGTGAATTCCACAGTACTCGGCATACGGCGCCATCAAGTTCAGAAGTCACAGACATTTCCCTATTGGCTGCCTTTAAATATCAATCGTCTTCCATGAGGTACAGGTAAAGAGTTCCAGCACTGGGCCGACAAGACGTCAGATGAGGACCAGGAAAGCGGCTTGCAGTGCTGCATGGACAGCCTTTTTGAAAATCGCATGTCGGGAAACAGTAATCGGGTGCTAAACGGCACGATTTTTCATAGCGAAAGAGTCATGTGTGACCTGTGTCGAAGAGACTTCACGGGACACTGAGGCCATGGTATCAGCACAAACGGTACAAGATGTTTCACTTGATTACTCATGACACCATCAAGATGGCAATGATGGCCGAAATGCGTATTTATGACGTCACCATGACGTCGTAAACACGGCATCAACAAATGTCACTGCATGCCAAAATCGCGATAAGACCGAGGCACGCCGTATAGAGGTGGGCTCCGAAATGGACCACCCGCAGAAGTATCTATTGTGTACCCGCAGAAGTATTTATTGTGTAACTAAATGTCTAACTATCCATGCCCAGTACGTAACTGCTACAAATTGTTCCTCAAGTCCCTGTGGAGTTGGCTTTAGAACTCTGCTATGTTCAGTTCTAGGTCCTTTACTTCTTTAATTTATATCCATCACCGACCACTTTTTCTTTTCTCAGTTCTTGACATGTGTTTGTTTCCGGTTGTGCGCCATAGATTATGGGAGTGCATATTTTGTTATATCACGTTGTTGATGACAGGGGAAGTCGGGAATGACGTACATGCGTGTGATTTATTTATTGGTGTTCGCTTCAAAATAAAATTTTCAGTTGCCAGTAAGCGCTTGTCAGTGTCCTCTCAGAGTGTGCGTATTTTTTGCGCTTGTTTCATCATAGGACATATTTATTATATACGACATCTGCAAGTGGTGTCACTCACTTGAGAGTAGCTATGTGAACTCTCATCTTGCATTAACATTCTTAATGTAATACAAAAACTGTTTTGATGCACATTCATCCTTCGCGAAACGGTAACACGAGCTTCTCGCCGATTGCACCTATTAAAAAAATGGAATCATATCCACCGGGTGAATGATGGAGAGTGGGGCGAAGCATCTGTCCGTCCATTCGTTCTTGCTTCCGTCCGTCAATGCGTCCATCTGTGCGACCGTCCGTGCGTTCATCAGCCCGTCCGTGCCTGCGTCTGTTCTTGCACCCAAACGTCGATACATGCGTCCGTGCCTGCGTTCGTCCATGCAACCGCCCTTGCGTCCGTTCATGCGTTCATTCGTCCGTGCAGCCATCCGTGCATCCGTCCATGCGTCTGTCTGTGTGCCCGTTCATCCATCTAGTCAACACTCCAAGTACCACCATCTCGCATCTTTTCATCATATATTCTGCATATAGAAGCACCGCCATCCAGCGGACAATCCAAGGACTAAACGAGAGGTGGCACACGCACAATTTCTTACGGCTTGCTTTCCGTGTCTACTTTCCACCTTTAACCATCCTAGGGTTCATGGTATATACTAGTTCACTGTAGTCATGGCACTGCGGCCCAACGCTCGCTCAACCTTTCTAAAATGATGGGTTACGCCCAGCGAGTATAACGTAGCAACCCTTTCTTGTCAGATAGTGCTCAATGTACATGTCAATGGCTGCTAATGGGGAATGAGACGGGTGCCGATTTAAAAAGCTTCGCCCCAAAAATAGATTTCTGAATTCTGAGATATATGAATTATGAGTACTTGAATACGAGCGAGACATATTTCGAATGAGCTGAAAGTTGTATGGTGAGTGTCAGTTGCGTGAAATGTCCTTAATTCTGGTGAACGACAATGTGAAAGAAAATAGTCAAACCCTACCATGTCAAAGTTGAGTTCATTCTGGTCAATGTCAATTCACAAAAAAATACACTCAAACCCGACTATATTGAGGTTAGGTTAATTGAGTTATTCTTTATATTGACCTATTAGCGAACGAGACAATTATCTGATGCCACTGTACACATGAAAATATTCGGCTATGTCGAACAAGAATCACCGGAACAATTCAGACATCGAACATGGGGCAGGATGAGACAGCTCAAGAAGTTCGCTTTTCCTCGTGGAAGATAACTTGCTTACCCACATCATGCATTTAAAAGAGTGAGCAATCGTGGTCAGCAAGACACCCCTCCCCCCCCTCCACCAGAGCAAGCATAAACTACCCATTGGCATTACACGCTTTGTTGATGCGATGGCTACTTAAGTGAAACTCCGCTAAGGTTGCGACAATTTACTTAACGAGGAGAACAAAAGTCTAAGTTCTACGATGTTGAAGAACAAAACCGAAATCGAAGCCGAGGCAGATTAGAAGGTTCTGGCGCCAAACGAGTACTCGAAGCTGCAATAAAGATTTTGAGGTACCGTTTTAACGATGGCGCATTTTGTCGTGTATAAGCCACCTCCGTTCTTAATTGGTACACCAAACCACAGATCACCTGAAAATAGATGAAGCATCTTCCAGAGTTCCATGAAAAGACCTTTTTTAAATGTCATTCTGAAGCCGTAGCGTGAAGCTAACTTTAACACACAAAGTCGCATATAAAATGCGCTGTATTCGTTAAAGGCGCGCAAAGAAAAACAAGTAACTTTCTCGTATTAGTAAATTACCAATTTACAACACGGAAAGCACCACCCTTACTGCGATACGAGGATTGATAAGTAAGAAAGCACATGAAACGAAAATGCGTGTACCCTCACCACCTTCGAATTCCTGCACCAAGACCTGTGATGTCATCAACTTTGATGGCCTCTACTTAGTGTTGCTGATTGGTAAAAGTGTAGTCAGCTGTGCTCTGCTGGGGCCAAGGGATTACTATATCAAGTTCAAGGAAACTTAGTTGAGCCAGTGTCGTCGAAATACGAAAATTGCGAAGCAATACTTTTTTTCAGACTAGTTGGTTTATACTTGAAAAATTGAATTGCTGCACAAACATGAAGAAAAAAACAAGAGAGACAGGAAAGAGCGCTGCGCTCTTTCCTGTCTCTCATGTTTTTTTCTTCAAGTTTGTGCAGCAATTCAATTTTTCACGAAAATTGCGCTTTGATAGCTGTGACCCCACGTGCAGGAATTTCGGCATGAAATCTAAGAATAGAACTGCGACCTTGATTTTCTTGTCTTCAGTAAACATGTGGGAAAAGCGAGGATATTACAGTTTCAAAAGTATGATTTACACTTACAAACGAATTTATGTGTTTACTTTAAGGTCCCTTCAAAAGTTTGTCGAAATACACGATATTTTAGTTTATTTATTTCCAGGTTATCTAAAGGCCCTATGGGGGGCATTGTGTAACAACGGCAATAGAGAAAATATATGTGCATAAGACTAGCAAACTGAAAAAAAAGACAAATGATAAAAAATTCAAACTAATACGTTAAACAGAAAACATTCCGTTTCAACATGTACACTCAGCGTCGAATATTTATTGACCACGACACGGGAGGTAAACCTAAATATTCCCGCTACTTCAGCCGGTAGCCTAGAATTCATATTTGCGACCTGTCCCAGAATGCACGAACACCGTATGCTGTTAAACTGTATGAAATACACGCATCAATTGCTGAGAAATGCAAAGCTTTCTGAAACCAGCGGGTTTCTAAACTTTTCACACTGACTGCACAAAAGATACACGCATGGGAACAGTAAACGAAACGGTGCTTTTCTGGCGCACAAAAAAGTAAGTGGTTACAAGGTCACATTTTCGCGTTCATATACTCCTAAAAACGAATTCACGTTGAAAAAAAAATGTATTTGCATTGCAGCTAAACAATTTTGCGGAAATGAAGAATACTACCAAGAAAGAAGAAAAAATACGATGCATTTCCGGGTAGTTAGACAGCAGGGCGCATTTCCTGCGCGAAAGAAAAAAAAGACAAGGAGCGGCATGAACGTTGGGAAAAGCGAGTTTATCTGACATCATATATAACACCACACATGAGCAGATGGAGAAACTTACTATAATGATAGTGTGGAGTTGACCAAATTATTCTTTGCGCTAAAATATGGCATCTAATCACTGAAGTTCCATAAGATGTGCCGAAATTTGTCATGGTTAGTGTGGAAAGCAATGCGGTCAGGCGCTCTAGTCCAAAGGCGTATGGAACGTGTGAGCGCGGACATATTCAACGCGTTTGTTGAGCGGTATACACGGCAATAGATATTATATTGTAGTCTACATGAAGTGAGATATCGTTTTTGCGGACCAATAACGGAGATTCGGGAGAAAATATATCGAACAGATCCCCATTTTAATGGTAGTTTAATATTTGTTGAATTGACAGTAGCACCTATTCGCTTGTGCTTCTCTCACGCTTACGGAGTGTAACGCTTCTTTTCGTCCCGTTTTGTCAGGCGATGCTCATCATGGAGACGCCCGGCAGGCGAGCCAACTTCAGTTGGATGCTCTTCAACGTGGAGTTGACGGACGTGACGCGAAAGTGCTTGACTGGGGGAGCCTTCGAGCGCGTCAGAGAGTTCAAGAAGTTTTATCTCACCCAGACGTCGAAAAACCGGACTGGATAGCGTGGCGCGTTAGGCAGCTGTTGGGAGTGCCGGGAAATCGGCCAACTGCTTTCGCGCCATTTTTTTCTTTTATTTTACTTAACAACGTCAACCGATGCTCGTTTGCCGGCTTCGGTGCGTGCGAAGCAGTAAAAAAGAAAATCAAAACGGAGATTGGTGTTGGCTGCGTTCATTCTAAGCAAGAGGAGCTGAGTTTTTCGCACGTAAAATTACACGTTGTTTAGCGGCATGTTAAAACACCAAAGACGTAATGTAATTTTTATGGGGCTTGTTTTTTTATTCAACACAACCAAATCCGTCCTGCAACCAATCAAGTCGAGAAAGTCACATGGGGCCCTATATTTAGTTTTATTTAAATTTAATTAAAGTAACTCGAAAGGACCTAAAGTGCATCAAAAACAATCACTTTAGACGGAATGATATCCGCCCACAACCTTGAAAGAGCTGCGTCTGGTGAGGCACTTGAGCCGTTCGCCTTAAGAAGCTAATGTTTTCCTAGGCAAATAAATAAAGAAAAACATTTGCATTAAGCGAATAAGCGTCCTATGGAAACGTGTCACAGTCTCTTCGCTATTCCTATGGTGGTTAGAAAAAGTAAGCCATATGGTTTGGTTCTATCAGGGAGGTCACGTGAGTAGCTGCTTGCTTTTTGAAGCTGTGGCAACTGATATAATCATAACGACAATGAAATATTTCCCTGAACAATGTAGTGTGTTGGCAAGTTTAAAACACGCAATCGTTATTCTACCCACACGATGCGACATTTGGTCCGATTCTACAGTTGCCACGCAATGGTGGGTGCTTTACACTTCTCCTTGCCTAACAACACTTGACTTCGTGGAGTTTTTTCCCAAAGCCTGTTCGAAAACGGCCGTGTACGCTCTATTACAATTAACCTAAGTGCAGTGCAGAATACGATTTCCAGTCCGGCTCAATCCCAAATTGATTTGAGTAAGGCTTGTTGATGGGCGAGTTTTTAACGCCGACTGGGTAACATGGTATCGCAAACCTTGAAAACTCTGATCAGAGGAAAGAAGTAGATGATATGTGAGGTTTAAAGTCCCAAAACTACCGTATGATTATGAGAGACGTCGTAGGGAAGGGCTCTGGAAATTTCGACCACTGCGTGTTCCTTAACGTTACCGAAATCCGCGCACACGGGCCTACAGCATTTTTGCCTCCATAGAAAATAGAACCGCCTCAGCCGGGATTCGATTCCGCGACCTGTGGGTCAGAATCCAAGTTTCTTAGCCACTAGACCACCAAGGCGGGGCAGAAAAGAACTAGAAAGGAGCAGAAAGGTCGGGTGCAAACCTGTCTGCTTCCTCCTATTTCTTTTCTCTGATCTGAGTTTTCCAAGTTTGTGCTACTATGTACCTCATCCAGGTTTAGTTTTCTAGTTTTAATTAATAGCAGAGCTACTTAGTGTCGGCGAATTCCCTATGGCCTTCGCGAAAATTATCGCAATCACACGGGTGCGCACTGTCTTCGTCCCTACCTTCATGTTTTGCTTCGCTTCCCGAAGAAATGATGCCGGGGCGTGCTTTACCACGGCTCTGATTTGTCCAACGTGAGATGCAATAGCTCTGACGAAGCAGAAAACGAGTGCAGAGGGAGCGAAAGAGGCAAAAAAAGCTAACAGATTAAAAAAAAGGAATGGGAGAATTAGGAAAAAGAAAAGGACAAAGAAATAAATAGACAAAGAGAAATAGGAAGATAGAAATAGAAAAAAAACGGCAAAAACCAAGAAAGAGAGAAACAAGAAAAGAGGAAGCGATAATTACCGCGAGAGAATGAAGGAACAAGGAGGAGCAGGTGAATGCGACGTCAAACCACGTAACACTATAGTCACACGACAAGGTGACCTGTTTGCCGATAGATTCGTATAACTCTAGTCACGAGACCTGAATTCACGTACCATCAGTCGTTTCAAAATGTTCCCGCCAAAAACACGAGACTCAAGCCACGGTGTCGTGCTACCGCTGAACCCATGTCACTTAAACGGGGCAGGGAGACGAAAACCATTTCATCGAAAGTTAGAACAGCAGCTCCCCTGTTCGTTGCAGCCTTGAACCACTCGTGCAAGCTGAATATATTTCAGGGGTGAAGCACCTTAGGTGCTTCACCCCTGAAATATATGTCCCTTGTGGTATAGAGGGGTGAAGCATTTTAGATGCTTCACCCTTGTACCATAATGGGTGCTTCACCCCTTAAGGGTGAAGCACCCACTATACTGCAAGGCGATGACGATGAAGAATAAGCGCGTTAGCACATTCAAGGTTGTCATTACGTAATGCATAAGCAAGGTAGCATAAGCAAGGTAGCCTCTATAGGCAATGACGATAATGCTAAGAACAATGAAGAGTAAACGCGTTGAGACCACACATTTGTGCTCTTTCTACCATCATGGCTTCAAGAGGGTTCACAGCACATGCAAGCCACCCACCACAATTCGTGACGATGACGCTGATGACGATGAAGAATAAGCGCGTCCCAGAACGCTTATTGCCAATCCCCCAGAATAGATATGTGTCATCGATTCCAGGCTACAAACAAACAAACAAACCAACAAATAAACAAACAAACATTTCCTTTCTGCCATGAATGAAAGCGATCGCGATACCACTCACGCCCGCGAAAGGAAAGGCGGGCAACGACGGAAATAAGATGCTTCTACGGAGAGCGCGCCATGAGGCGGCTCAATGTCTAGGCAGACAACAAGTTACGCCAAAGCACCCTCACGCCGTTATTTCCTATAATAGCCTCCAGCTCAGCTCAGTTGATCAACCTCAAAAGAACTTGATCCCGGGCTCGATTGTCTACGCCATGACGAATTTTTCAGCAACATAAGAGTGTTCTTTCTCATGGCATGATACTACGAACACGTAATTATCACTCTTTTTTGCTTAATAATATAAAAAAGGCTACCTTTTCCTGAAGTCTTATTTCCCTGTTCTCGCAATAACTAGTACAAATTTCTCAGAAAAATGCGTGATGCAAACAAATACAGTGTAGCTCTATGGAGAATACCTGACATCGTTCTTTTATTTCTTTGCCAAGCCTAAGCGAACGAGAAAACTGACCATCGTTGGTGCCGGTGGCATCACCCCGTGGGATTCCAAAAATTCTCACATGATGACGGTATCTTGACGTCTCCGATCCCCAAAATTTGTGCCGTCACCATGATATCATGGCACCATATAACGGGATGTGAACAGATCGTCACTTTGTCAAAGGTGGGGCTGATCGCGGAGGCAGTGTAAGACAAGTGCAGAAAGCTTGCAGGGTAGTGCAAAACTGCGTTTAATGAAGGAGGCGCTCAGAGAATAGAGAAATCAACTAAAAAAAGATAAATGCCAGGCCTGTGCAAAAGCGCCACGCTAGTTTTATGGTATTGCATATTAGAATTCCATTTTAATTTTTAGACAACCAATCGATGCGTTTTTGTTGTCTAACATTAGAATGTCTTATAATAATAGCCTGTTAAAAGTGGTGAATCCGCGTAGTGGGTACGGGCCTCTGGTAAAGGGTCTATGAAACCACGCACTCATTGATTTCAGGAGTACGTACATTTCAGGGCACATTTGAGGATCGATGATAGGAATCTATAAGCATGAGAAGATAAATTTTGGCTGTTTTATTATAAACCTCGTCCACGAGTTTAGTAGCTTGAAACTTGGGTCGCCAATAGAAGCCACAATTGTTTAGGTATATAATTTATGAACACACAGCGAAAACCATATCGTGATTACCGACGGCAATGCAATGTTTCATTTGGGCGTTAAAGACAGTATTTTATAACTGGCAATAGAGAGTTTTCGAGTAGCTTACGCAAACACTGCGCATGCGTCATAACGCTAACCATCGTTAGCGTTCGCGATGCAACAGCAAAAAAAAAATTGAAATAGCATGCGGCCCCCGCAAGGCCCTCAAAGCTCCTTTGCGGTGACTCCACGTGAGTCATCGTTTGCGGAGGACAAACTCTATTCGAAAATACTCATTAGGTGCCCATACGAAAACAATATGCCTGCAACACCTGCTAACTTAGCGTACGCTATTTGAAAATACCTATTGACAGAAGATCAGGTGGAAAAAAATAGAAGACAGAGGTTGCTTAAGCGTGGCCTTCAATAACACAACACGCCAGAGCTAACGAGCATCGTGCACATTCTCTTCTAATTTGGCAGCCTGGCTTCGGCTCTTGGCGTATGCACTGAAGGAAGCACTACGAGATGAAGGAATTACTAGCGTGGAGCTGCCCGCTGTGGTTGGTTTTGGTGTTTGGCACGTCCACTACACCCTTATCAGTAGCAAAGATGGGTAGGCGTAGCTTTTTGTTTCGACAATACACATTTCAGCAGCATTAAAACGACACCAGCAGTTTCATCAATGACGTGCTGCGAATGACCATGCAAAACTTCCTCAATGGTGACGTTTTTACGTCAGAACGGCGCGGTGAGAAAGCTGGGTGCGAGAGGTGAGGGGCACTGAACGGTGAAATAAATAAGTCACGGCACATACGCGCTTGCCCAGCGGTAAATCCGCGAGACTCCTCTAGATCTCTGTGGTTTTCGTTCTGGCGGTACGGCTTGTCAGCGCCATAGTGGAGGGAGAAAAAAACTTTATTTGGTTTTGAAGGAAGCAATGCAGGAAAATTAGAATGCCGACTACGCTGCTAGAACTGAATCACCTCAGGTCGAAGTCATCGTTTAGTAGTTCAAAGGACCAATCTCAGAAGACGGTGCTACTTAATGTTGAGTGTGAGCAAAATTACGTCACTGCGCGGGCGAAAAAGACTGGTGAGGTGCGTGATAATGACACGGTAATTGTATTTTACGCATGAAAATCTGCATGACATTTCATTAAATTTTATTCTACTGTCATGCATCCTGCTCCGCAAACAACCATGCCTCTGCACCATTTATAGAGACTAGGTTTAAACAGGAACAAGAAGAATCACGAGAGTGCAGTTTCGTCCCTCGATGAAACGCAGCGACAGGCGAGGCGTATGCAGCTATCCTTTCGGCATGCTGGCTCTTCGATCCAAGTATTGCCGGAATCCTTTCAGTCGCTCGAAAGGTCCTACCCGGCAGGCAGCTCTTTGTGTGGTCCGTCAGATGGACGTTGAACAAGAACCACGTGAACTTGTCT